CGGCGCTCCCTCGCAGCGGAGGTGCTGCCGTGACGGACTCGGAGGGAGAAGCGGCAGAATGGAGCCCGCGGTTTTAGTGCCTGTAAACACCCGCGTGTCCTGCGAAGAAGTTGTTCTAGGATATTTTTAACCTGGTATTTGTTGAGCGCATTGTCCGATAGCAGATGACGTAGACATTAAAGATGCTGTACATTTTAAATTTTTTTTCCAACTTACTCCCTGCTTGTAGAGCTTCACTAACAACCTCACTTGTCTGCAAAAGTGTTGTTCGGGGCTTTCTGTGTTGTCATGTGCCTATTGTCAAAGACAGTCCCAAAAAGAATTGCGAGACACTGGGTTATTCGAAATACCTTCTTTTTCTTTGCCCTCCAAAATGATTATGCTGAAGCACACTGAGAGCTTGAAACTAGGTTTTAATGCTGTCTCTATCTCTAGTTTATAATTAGACTTAAATAAACTTGCTTCTTCATCCACTGAAAGCAATAGACTTACTTGACATCATTCTTCCAGAGGAGTATCATGTTAATAACCCTTTGTCTTCTTTAGTTACTTCTCTTTCTTACACCAGATCCCTCTTTACAGTGAATAAATTAAGTACAATGTGTTGTAGAAATAGGGCTTCACAGTTTGTCACTTCCAATTACTAATGCTAAGCAAAAATTATTCAGGTACCATTTTCTTTTAAGATATTAAACTCAGAAGAATTCCGTGCAGAGCAAGCCACTGTGTTTTATTAAACCAAATTTGCCAGTCTTGTCAGGATGATCTTAGACGTGTTGCTCACCCCCCGCCTGCCCACTCCACGCAGTTGGCTTTTGCTGCTGTTAAAAACACCAGCAGCTGCCAAGTTTTATTTTTCTTTGTGATCCCCTTGTTGAGGGAATGGCTGATGTTTCAGTGCAGCATCTCTTGCTTTCCATGCACCAGCTTGTAAAATGTGTGCATTGCACTATATGTCACAAGGAAATTATGCAGTTAGGGCTTGTCTTTTAGGAGTGGGTGGCTGTTGTTCTATAGTTGAAGTCCAGAAAAAGTTTCACAAGAAGTTTGACTCCATTTGTGTTTGACTGTGGAACACTTGCAGAAGCAAAAGGATTTGGAGATATTGCCTACTAACAATAACCATATGTAAATGTATTTTGTTTACACCTCACTGGATCAGTTTAATAAATAAGAAAAGTTCCTGCCTAATAGGACGAGTTAGTGGCAAAATGCCTATATCTCCTGTGCTGAGACAAAGAAAAAAGCTGCTGCCTGGTAGCAGCATTCTCTCTTCCTTTTGGGGATAAATGTATGTAAATAACTTACAGCTTCTTTCATATGTAATGGCAGCGGTTTTCATGTGAGTAAAGCAGAAACCAAAGTAATCAAAAATTGAAAATAGTGATTTTTGGAGAGGTAGGTGGTTTCTTCCTCAAATTCCATGGGATGACAGACACCAGACCCTGACTGCAAAGAGCGCTGTGATTCTGTGTATGAGCACTGTGTATGTGTAATCACTGAACTAAATTGGACTAAATTTCTAAACCTTGAAAGTGCCTTTTGATATGGGGCCTGCAGTCCTAAAATACTTAATTAAAATATTAGTATTTAATGCTTTAAAGCAGGTAACTAGAAAGAAATTGAAGCATTTGTAAATATCTGATCATTGATATTTGTTATCAATGATATGTACTTTATGTACGTTATGTACTTGTGAAGCCTGAGTTTAAGAGTGAGTGATTGATGGTGCCTGACTTGTAGGCATGTAAGTAGTTGATCTCAGTGGGGTTTGGCGCCTTGAGCAGTTTGGAGACAGTGGGTTGGAGTTCTGTGTGAGGTGATTCCGTCAGACAATTCTTCTCATAGCCCTTTAACCTATATCTGGGATGAAAAACGCCCTAAGGGAGCTTGGCAGGACAGTAGCTTTACAAGGGCTAAGCCAGTTGCCTTGGTTGATTGACTGCTTCCAGTCAGACCTGTTTGCCTGGTTTGCTACCTTAACAATGGAAGGTCACCTTAACAATGAAGTTGACTTGGCAGGGGTCACTTGACACCTGATCATGGGACAGGACAGATGGCTCAGCATGGAGAGCAGGAGCTGTGCTGTCTGCTGGCCTTGCCCTTTTAGGGTTGCTCAGCTGCTGGATCAGTGATTCTGTTAGCATCTTTTAAGACAGGGAATAAAGTAAGGTGTCTGGAGTGTTGAGAGAGTACACCTTGGAGCCCTGGGATTCCAGGACTGCCCAGAGTCATTTAAAGCACTGCAGGCCTGCCTTGATCATGTTCTGTAGCCTGTTCTGATAACACTCCCAGGGCAAGTTAATGAGGTGTGCACAGCCACAATTTATCCCTCATCATTTTCTTGGAACCAGTCTTTAAGTAGCCTGATTGCCAAAGTTGAACAGAAACTGTAAAATTTGGGAAGAGATGGGAAGTTACTGGACAGAGGGTTTTATGCAGCTAGGAACTTGTAGAAAACTGGGAGGAACTGTGGTTTAACTGAGGTGATTTTACAGGGACAGTGGTAGAGCTAGCTAATTATATCATTTGCACTTGCATATTGTGACCTCCACTGCTGCTGTTATCAGGGCAAGTTAAGGAGCTTTTTGTGCTTTAGTTAAAAAGTGGTGAGGGGACAGCAGGCCAACTGTGAAATGGTACTGAAACAGTGATTGCAACATCATGGGAAATGATGAACTAGAGATGTCAGTCAGGAGAATCTTCTTGTCTTCTTGAATTCAGAAACTAAGACTAGGCAAATCTCCATTTTTCTTAATACTGCATTCAAAGGGTGAAAAAAAAAAAAAGACAGCTCAGGAATTAAGTGTTAAATAGTAATAGAATTAATGTCTCACATAAGTAGTACACACTGCCAGACCTGTTGGCAGACTGAAAATCCCAGTCAGAGAGTTGCTGAATCAGTTATTTCTGTCTTGCTCTGTCACCAGCAAGCACAGAGAATATGCAGTGAAGTTGAAAACAGAAGGCAGTGAGTTTGCCAGGATCCCAACTTTGTATATAAATCTGTAGGAGTAAACGTGCTTTTGTTCAAGGAACTCAAAGCACTGTCTGAAGAACACATACCTGAGCTGTGTTGAATGTGAGCTCTGCTGTGTGTATGGATCTGACATTTGGAGGCTGAGCTGGTGAGCTCAGTGCAGCAGAAACCACGCTGGTCAGGCTTGATAGAGATGGCTTGCAATTGTCTTCTGTATCACCTCCTGAACCTGGGGGCATTTTTAGTGTGTGAAGTGCTATTGGAGAAGTAAATTCCAGTCTTTTAAGACACACAGTTTTATGGTTTGACTATAAAAGGTCTCCTTAGGGTACTAATTTTTTTTTCTGCTGCTACTTAGAAAGCGACCTTAGTCATGTGCTAGGACATCTTTAATACAGCCCAATGAGTTGTGCCATATCGTAAGCTCTTGAAGCAGAATGAACCCACTTTGTTCAGTTACCAGCTATGGGTTTATTATAAGCAACGTGCAATATAAATTTGGGGATTGTGTGAGTATAACTAGATTGGAAAAGTTAGTGTTCTTACCTCCTAATAAAGTGTGTGGTTTACACGCACACACACACACACACACACACACACGCGCGCGCGCGCGCGCCTTAGATCATTACTCTGTATTTTTATCACATCTCTTAAAATTTTTTGTGTCTCCTTAGTAGGTTATCTGTAATTATGAAATTGCCTCCTATGCCAGGAAAGGAATTTAGGTTAACAGGTTTAATAGAATGATGAAAGGGAAGATTGTGTTTGTTCTTCCTCTTGTAATTGTGATTAATTTTGTTACTGCTTAGAGATTTCAGAAGTAAAATTGATCACTGTAGTACAGATCTCACTGTATGCTGTTCTTGGGGAGAATATGAAGATAACAGTAATGGACTTGTCTCCATGCAGGTTCAGAGGATGCTGTTCCAATAGTTCAGTTCTGTGAGGTTGGCTGCACAGCCATGAAGCTCACAACATCTGCAACATATAAATGATTTTTGGCTTTCAATGCCTATTGGTATTGTACAACAACTTATGAGTCAGTCATCTCAGCAAAGAAGCTTCTCATCTCTTTTAGAGGTGAAAATGACACATTTAATAAAATTTAATATGTCACTTTTACCTCAGCTTTGAAGATACAGTTCATTTGATTTGGGGAAATACAGTAAAGAAAACAAAATAAGTAAGGATGTTTCAG